TCCTGTCCATACTGTCAATCTGAAACACAAGGCAATTCTGACTGTTTTTTTTCTCTCCATTCTGTCAGTGTCACCTGAAGGAGTTTGGGTTTCTTGCCACTGTCGCCTCGGGGTTGCTTAGTTGGGGACAGTTAATATTCAACAATATTATTGATCTGACTGTACTGACGCTGTTGTATGAGAACTGAACTGAGCTGTACGATGACATAATTTTTAGCAGAACTGCTTTATAGCCGAATTGAACTAATTTAAAAATTGATGATCTTTACTATGGAACTGAATCAACACTGAACTGACTTCAGCTGAACAACAGCTGAAATGAATCATTTTCCTGTAATCACTATAAAGTTGCTTTGAAACAACCTTCATCATTGGCTCTTATCATTGAGAAGAAAAAAATCTGACAGTATTTTGTATATATTTGCAAATGACTCCATTAATAACTTACAGTATGGATGTCAAACATACAGTCGGAGAGACTGTGGTGAGATGCCTTTTAGAACTATTCAGAATCTTGTAATATGACAATGACAATATATTTAGAAATATATTTAGAATAGGTCCACTATATACAGTATACAGGCATATATATATATACGTTTATGTTAGCCAATCACAGCAGTGGACGTTTACACTGCAGTCTCACAGCAGACACGCCCCCTTAAAACAGAGTGTTCAAACCAAAGGGCTAAAATCAGGCTAGGAAAATGCCTTTTGTTTCTAAATTATGACAAACTCATATTTAGTATTTGCACAATGACAGGCAGCCTTATGTGCGGCTGTGTATTTAAATGTTTAAATACACACAAAAATGTCTAAATCTTTATTTAATTTGTATCTTTCTTGCATTTATTTGTTCTATTGCTTGTCATTTGTTTCTTTGTTCTTATTTTATTACTGACTGTTTACTTGTAGACATGCCAAGTTAACAGATTTCAGCCTAATAGTGATACTTCACTGAATGGCCACACAGAAAACAGAATTATGTCGAAACAATTTTCACAGCAAACACATTTCAAATATTACTAGTATATTTTACCAATAATTACAAAGAATCGGCAAGTAACACGTTGAATTAAACTTGGAAATTTGAAGTAGAAAGACTGAAATAGTATTTTCTTGTAAAACACTCCAATAATTGTGGTTTTATTTACAGCTTTGAAAAAAATCCTTTTTACAGTGCAATTTCACATGTATTTTGTGTTTTTTTTTAAACTGTATTTGTATAATTGAAACACCCATATACCAGTGGACCACATTTTTTTAGAAATTATATTTCAATAGATGTTATTATCTCATATCATTTCATAGCAGAATTATGATTTTTAGATGTATTCCTTTTACTTATCTCACTTCTTAAATGACAATTTTAGTAAAAGATGGCTCATCTTAACCCACTTGTCTGTATATGTGAATTTAACAGAGTCGGACTGTTCTCTGGAAGAGGATGGCCTCTCAACGTTCTCCTGCAAGCAGGCCAGCAAGAGAGCCGATTCCCAGGCAACTTATTACCATTCTTCATAAGTGAAATTCCCCACCGATATTTACAGGTCAGCTATGGCATTGTTTCTGCAGCTGGAGCTGCTTGTTCATGCAGACTTTGAGACACGCAAGAGCCTTTCCACATGTATTCTATCACTCTCTGCCACTTTTCCCCCTCAGTATTTCTTTTAAAATTCCATCAGGATATATCATCGTTTGGAAACAACCAAAAAAAGATCTACTGCCAGCCCCCATGATGAAGTCTCCCTCCCTGATATGGCTCATTCTCAGCACTGCAAGTGGTTAATGGCTGTTTTCTTTTTTTCCTGTCTCTCACTTTACCTCTTAAAACCTTCACATGGTAATGATTTTCAGTGTCTGGTTTGATCTGGTACCTCTCCGGCCCATCTGGAACAGTCTAGTCTAAACTGAGAGTTTTCCCTTTGATTCAATCCTCAGAGAACCATGCATGGGTGTTGCTCATTTATATGTCTACATTGTTTTATTTGAAACTACAGGACCTGAATTCCCTGTACAGGGTAGCACAGAATGTAACATGTGAATTCAACTTATTGAGTGTTGTTGGGAGTGAAACATCTGAGAGCAATGAAAGGGTTTGATGCCACTTCACTCGGGGGGACAAAAAATATTTACACACATGACCACAGGACATATCAGATTAGTGTATGAAGTAACACCTCGAGTGTTCTCAAGTAGGGCACCATATTCCTCCAATCACACTTTCCTGTCACTGTAACAAGATCTAAAGTTAGTCTAGTCTACAATAAGTCATTTTCTAAGATGCTTTTTGTGATCTCATGAGATTAACTACAAGTAAACAGCATACAGAGTCTAAAACAGAAACAGAGGATTAAGATGTGAGATCCTGCTACTGAGAACACTCTCTTTGTGCAAACATTTACATGTTAATTAAGCTCTTGTTATACAGTACAAATGGGTAACAGTTAGTCAACTGCTATTTAAGACAAGAGACCTTTAAACAGTTTTTGTTTCGTCTTCTTAGACTAAACTAACAAAGTAGTCAGTGTCAAATTTGCAGACACTGAAGCTACTCAGAGCAGAAATGACACTATTATATGCAAATAGACATTACTCTTTAACAGAAAGAACAGAGTGCGAGTTTTGCTGTCTCTCGCATCCTCTTATTTGATAGTTATGTAACAGGAGATCCTGTATTCAGAGAATCATGAGTTAAAACAGGAAAAACTCTTACACTTTAAACTATGCTTCCTGTGATTTGCACCCAAGGGCAATGAAGCCCAAGCAAAAACGTGAAAATGTTCCTAAGATTTGTCAAAGAAAATTTGCATGGCTTTCTGTAGCTCAAACAGCAGAGCACGTCACTAAGCAATGCCAAGGACATATAGGTTCAATACCCAGGGAATGTATAAACTGATAAAACAAAGTATAACTTCAATGCAATTAGTCGCTTTGAATAAAAGCGTCTTCCAAATGCATTAATTTAAATTTGTAGGAGTTGTGCATTTTAATGTCTTCACAATAACAGTTTCACACAAAACAAGGGACCGTTTACAAAAGACTATTGTGTTTGTCCCCATGTGAGACTTTTATTTAGCAGTCTACAAAGACGACATCCCACATAGGACATACCCAACAACCGCATCACCCAGATGGAATGAGCCATTCGGTCTCGTTGGTGTCCCACTGGTCGCCTTCTGGATGAAAAGATCACTGATTTAACTATCTGATATGACATGCTGCAACCTACACTGCTACAACATTGCTGGCATCACTACCGCTTCCAGAGGTTTCCAACAGTCAACATCGCCAACAATATTACTAAAGAAAAATGGGCATACTAGCATACAAATTTTCCACAGATTCTGTCTGGGCCTGTTTGAAACAACTGGTTTAAAAAGTCATGTTTACAGAGGCAAAAAGCGGATACACATCATGTAGTAGTACATGCTGAAGAAACAAACACAGATTTGCCTTGAAGTTCCTTGAAACATGACTTCAATTCATCACAGCAAAGTCTGTTGAACCTCCTGAACCTGCAACAGTTCCTCAATCAATAACACATTTCTACTGTTATAAGCCAAATTGGACCCATTTCTCTCATAAAAAGTATACACAGAAACTCCCAGCCTTCACCATTTTGAAAATATTACAGGCAGGAATGTGCTGTTCCAGACACCCAAACAGCACACTGTTCCAGCCAAGCTGCATACTTGAGATGAGTGACCTCACGCTGAAGCGCCAGCACTCTGTGTATGCAAAAACATTGCCATGGCAACCAAGTCGGGATGACACTGGGAACATTGATATGAAAATCCACTCCATTACACACAGCAACTCATTTACCTTGGGCTCGACTCTAGCTGAAGATCTAAACCTAAAACAACTATCAGAGGAGATGGCGTTTGCTTGGAACAAATTTTCCTTGTTCTCGTCTCGCTTCGAAGTTATGTCTACAGATAAAGTTTCCAGTGTTTAAATTGGGAGAAATTAAAACGCTTACGGACATCAACAAAATGAGTTACTGAAGAGAAACTCTTTCAAGTAGGGAAATAAAAGACTTAGCTCGTTTGTATTGTGACGATCATCAAATTCAATTTCAGTCTAGCCTCTGGTGTTTGAATGAGCATTTTTTGTAAATAGTGCACTTAAAGCTGCATTCCGTAACTTTTGGCACTCTAGTGGTTAATAAACAGTACTGGTATGCATCTTGCAGAAGAACATTGTAGCTGGAGTACTGGGCTACTCCGAAGTGGTACGACCCGAACCAGTTTAAAATATTCTGATTTCTGAATATAAACACTTATAAGTGTACCATAGTGATTCAGGATAAGACAAAAACACGGTTTGGAAAATGGATTCATGTACTCGTTCATTATACAATTTGTCAATTTTGAACAGACTGCAGCTTTAATCACGACAAACCTGATTTTGTGTGAAATGTTATCCATTTGTACATTTAATGCTGCGTTAAAAGCAAGACAGACAAATCAAGTTTTATCCTTTAATATTTTCAGAAGTGAAAGACAGTATATTTAAATTTTTTTAAGAGTAATCCTGCACTGCACAGATTTCCACCCAATCAAATGCTCTCTAGAATGAGAATGTCCCACCCTAATACCATTCACAACTAGCAAATCATCATTAATGGCTGTACAATCAAAATGTGATTTTTTTTTTAATTCCACTAAGAATACGTTTCAATAGGAAAGTTACAGATATAAGTAAACAGAAAAAAAAGTAAACAAGCAAGTAAATATGCAAATGAAAACCATTTTCATGGGGTTTAAGGGCATAAAAACCACAAAGAGAACAGATGTCAATTATAATAAACTTTATTAGATAGTTAACAATATTATCTACATAACTGAATACAAAGAGAATGTGGTCTGCAGGCAGAAAGGGTTTAAAAACAGGGAACCAAACTATCCCCCTAATGCTTAGCAAAATGGCTGCCAAACAGGAACTACATTTACACATCTAAAAGACTAGAGTGGGGGGGGGGGGGAGTCTCCTCTGCATCAAGACTTTAAAATAACAGAGCAAGAAACATCAACATTTGCCTGCGTGCCACTTTTAACATTAAGTCATAGACAAGGCACCACACAGCAGTGTCACTATTCAATCCCTGCTTTTCTCAAATCATCAACAGGTTAAAAACAAACACTCCTCAATAATAAAACCGGCAAAAAGTAATTGTGGGAAGGGTGTTCACAGGTTTTAGGGGCCATTACAGAAAGCAAGCTATACAACCGCTTATTGATTAATGTATGCTACATAGTTTCACAGTGATGCTATCTTTAATTTAATATAAAAATGACTTTAAATCATGGCTTTCTCTTAATATACCAGTATCATGAGCCAGGCACTTCAGATATTGCAGTGTTAACAGAGGTGAGGGACTTGTCGAGAGATTAAAAAAAGCTAGCATAACGCACTAGCTGTGTTTGTTTCCATGAATGTTAGCCTCTCAACTCCCCCCCTCACAGACATCAAAGACTTTTTCCAGGCCAGACTTACAGCTAAAACCAGGCTATTTTTAACCTGCCAAGAGTGAGCAGGGGAAGACATCGCCTTCCCTTGAGTGTCATCAACTTGCTGACCTGTTAACCGTGGCCACAGATCGGAAGTTGACTCAGCTACATTATTATACTGACCGCAAGGGGAAGGACAATTGAAAATCATATAAAAATGTCAATCAACATAAAAACTTGCTGGTTGTTAAGCCTAAAGGTGTTGAGAAAGTAATGTATCTTGCATTGCCTGCAAAGAGTCACTATATGGACCCTCAAATTAATGACATGATACAAGAAAGGTGCCAACATCTCATAAAAAAAAAAAGGGAGTAAAAAATTATAAAAGGAAAAGGCCTTGACAAACAGCTGAAGTTTCACTAAGCCATGATTAGAGAGAAGGGTTCTTGTTTTCATATCTGCCACAGGATTCCAGCGAAAGCATTCGGGTGGATATCCAGTAAATGAGCGAAGCAAGAGAGACGTTGCCACACTTGATCCTGAAAGCATCAAGCATGAGACACCCTTGGTCTGATTTGTATAAAAAAATATTGTTGGTACTATACCCAATGACCGAGAATGGCATTGAAACCAAACCAAAGATGTAATGAAACAGGCTTGCCAGAGTGAAGATTAATCCCAGAGAGAAACAGAGGTGGATGCTATGCCTTGAATGGTTGTAAAGGCACTACTATAATCATTGGTAGAGCAAGTAGTTCTTAAGGGAGGCAGGTAAGGGCAGTCCATGGATTTCACTCAGTCGTTCTCTCCCCAACGCGATCCGTACTGAGCGCCTACAGAGGTCCATTAATGGCAGAGGTTCAGCTACAGGCAGAGAGAGAGAGACAGATAGAAATTCATTAGAAACAATCACTCAAATACTTTGTAAACTTGTAAATCCCGATGTATGCTGTCCTTCCCAGTAAGACTATGATGGGGTTGTGTGTCAGACTGGGTGTTTTATATCACTTATGTTCTGACATCCTCATTTACACACATAATCATGGTACAGCACAAGCCCAAAACCTTGTGCAAATGTTAGGAGTGCTAGGAGTCTGTCGTGGCTGGGCATATGAGGAGCGAACAAGCTTATTCTTAGTATAGAGCGTGTGGTAATATGATAACAAATAAAGAAGAACACAAAGATCTTTGATATTTGGGTTTCTTCAACCTTGGGCACTTTACTCTCGGGGGGTTAATTTTTATCAACTAAAAGAGTAACAAGCATTTATATTTTTGAAAGTGCTTAAACACGTAGTTTGAGATGTAGAAGAAATTAAGTTGTAGTGGGAATTTATGGCTTTCTAAAATAAAATAATATATATATATAAAAGAAATAATCTGAGATGCATGCAAGTACACTAATCATGGGGGGGGAAAAAGGGTAGCTGATGGATGTTCGATTTTGTTTTCTAAAAGACTACATGGGCAAAATGCCCAAAGTTGATGAAATATTGGTTTATGGATTCATTAGCTTACAAAACTGACAAAAGCGATTCATCAGCTGATGCAGAGATAAAAGACTTGGGTTTAACTCTTTTACAATTACAGAGAGAAGAAATTGTGGCCAACAAAGAAAAAATTCATTCAGTGTGCACCTGGCTTAAAGTATTACAAGTTTCCTCACAGGTCCCATTTAGTCCAGCCATATAACACCAGTAAGTACTTTGAATTTCTGAATGGTTTCCACACAGCACCACCTGCTCGGATGTTGAGATTACTTCACAAAACGCACACTTTTGCAAACGAGACACAGGGGAAACCAAACAGAGTGAGGTAAGGGATAAATAACAGCACATTTATACCTCTGTTGACCACAAGCATGACGAAGAATGCATTAAAGGCACTGAGACAATACAGATACAAAGGGAAGCCAAAGCCTTAGAAGAGTAGCCAGAGTATTACTCAGCCTCTGACTCCCTCACACACAGACGGGAGGAGAATTCTCCAAAAATGGGAACACCTGTGTCCTGAACTGATGCAGTAAGGCAGCACCAATACTCCCCAAAGTCAGACCTTCATTAAATGTTGCTACACATGGCTCACTCAGGAAAGAGGTTTAAGAGTCATTCCATCATCTAATGGCATGCAAAACATCAAGGTGATAAAAGGTATTCCTTTGGAAAGGCCATCATTAGTGGCCCGGAGACTGCTTCCACTGAGTGTAAGGCGGGTTACAGCTGTCCTGACTCCCGAGAAGCCCAGACATGAGTAAGTCTGGCCCTCACCTGCATCCTTTCATTATATGACCACAGAATGATAACATTATAAGAATGCCCTCCAAAACTGACTCATTACAGCATACTGGGTTGAGGAAATGAGTCAGATTGGCAGAAACTACATGCAAAAACAGCAGAAATTTTATGTAATCTCAAGAATGTACAATTTGATGAAAGACATTGCATGCTAGCTAGCTCTGATTTGAATGAATGACTAATTTTCAAAACCCTTGACCTTTTCCACTCTCAGAAGAAACCAAGCTAAAAAAAAAAAAAAGGAAATATAAAACCATGCACCAGTAGTCAAGCAATACGTTTTTTTTTAAAATAGCTGATGCAAAATCAAAGACTGATTGACTGCCATTGCAACGGGACCTGTTCCTAAAATATAAAACACAGCTATTCGTGTATAAAGACTAATTTTACTCTGCAAGTAAAATATTAAGTGTAGACAATGTTCCCAATGGCAATGTGAATTTGCATCAAATACACATCGTGCAAATATTCTCTCTAAAGCTGATTCAGAGCAATATTGCCATAAATAGCTACAACAATTTTACATTATTTTAGTTTACACAATTCTTTTTTTTTATACTTTCTTGTTATACCTATGGATGTCAATAAAATTAAATTAGATGAAAACATTTATCGAATTTTCCACAAGCACTCTAGTAGCACTCAATTTAAAAAACCCTGATCTAGAGAACATGTTGGCTGATATGAAGAACATTTTAATGATGGACAAAAATGTGAAATTTCTGCATTTATAAGAACAATTTACAACATTTACTCGCACTATAAAAACAAAATATTATAACAGAAAATGTTTTAGCCATTGAGAAGCCTGAGAAGACTTCTGTCAAACAGGTATAGGTCTCTCACATAATCAGGCTAATAATAGTTTTCATTAAGGAAAAGCTCAGTTTTGATTCTCTATAAATGGAGAATGTCTGTTTAAATGTTCCTGATCAGGCAGTAGTGGAATCTGCTCAAGACGTACATAATAATGAAAGAGTAGAGCAAAGCAGCCAGTTTAATGATTAGCTTCCAGGAAGTGTGCGAGATAATGAATGATGTCATATACACAGGTTTCCTGTTTACAAACATTACAGGGTGCGTGCGCATACCGAAGGCAGAAAGCCAGATTGGTGAGCTGGTCCACTACTGCAACAACCTTAAGTATTGAAGCTTTCATTGTTTATAACTGCTGACTCAATAAAACATTTTAGTTGGATCTGTTTGTCTGTCTTTAATTTTGCAGTGTTACTGTGATATATGTATGAATTATCATGTTAGGCTAGTAATGTAATAGCCAATGTTAGCAGTGCAGCATCTACTGGCCAGACCGAATTTGCTATTATATAAAGTGAAGTTTGTTTACGTTACAGACACCACCACTATGCTATTAGCCTACTACACGTAACACGTCTTTTTTCTGCCTCCCAGTTGCGTGCGCAAGCAGTGATGACGTTGCAGAGAAATCCATGTATGCCGTGTTTGAAATCGTCCCCTTTACTCTCATTCACTATTCCCTACATTACTCCACTAATACAGTCCACTTGAAGGAGTGAATGAAAACGAGAGAGTGAATTCAGAAACTAAGAGCGCCGGAAGGGCTGCCGCTTTTGCATAGTTTGTGCTTGCTGTTTAATAATCAAATGAAACTTAGCAAACTGGCATCTCCAGTAGTAATAAAAGATTTATCTTGAACTCTGCTATGGAAAGCATGTATAAACCTCAATTTATACCTGTATGATATTACGCTGGACCAGCGCGGTTTGGAAAACGGATGGATGATTGTGGGATTGAATGAGTGCACCCGATAACATCCACTACAGTTTCTAGGGGTGTAAATCGGACAGTTCATCACGATACCGAAAATTCTGCAATACGATTACGATTTGATTCAGGGCTATCTCAATTGATTTATCGACATTTAGATTTTATGTGCCAAGTTTACACAACCAGTTACATTTTTATTAACTCACAAATATATAACATGAACGTTTAATTAAACTTTGAAAATTGCACATCCTCTCCCATTTGGGACATTTACAACTAGGGATGCACGATGATATCGGGACAACATCGGTATCGGCCGATAAAAGCTTAAAATGACCATCATCGGCCGATATGAATATTTCTGCCGATGAGTCTTGCCGATAGGGTGGCGTGTTTCCTATGCGCACGTGACGACCGTGAACGAAGCATGAGCGCCAGCAACTTAAACTTCCAACTAGGGGTGTGCGTCTCACGGTTTTTGATCGTGGACGATTAAAATGTCTCCACTATCTGCTTTTGAAGAAAAATCATAGTATCGTGCATTCTATCAGTTCAATTCTGGCGCCTTCATCTCAACATACTGTACAACGCGACGTACATTCACATCACATCACATGTAGACGCAGAGGTAGAGTTACACTCACGGGAAACCGCAATTCACAAAAGTTCATTGTTTGCATGTGCGCCAAAGTCTTGCTAGGTAAACATGTCATTCACGTGCTGATGCGCTGTTCTAACATCCGCTTTTCTGAGCGCGTTACACCCGACGCTCACAGGAACTAAAAACCTGTCACAGCGCCTGCACACTGGACTAATCTTTCGAGTCTTATTGCGCTGATACTGTCAAATACACACAAGGTTTACATAAACAAAGTTGGTTATGTCTAAAGTGAAAGCAAACAGAGAAAATCTGCTTGTCAAATGCGTGTATATTAGACGCGTCGCGTTACTCGCGTGCAGTTCTTAAAGAGACAGTCATAATATTCTGCCGCTTGTCTTTAAAGAGATACTGCACCCAGAAATAAAAATTCTGTCGTCTATCTAATGTTGTTTCAAACCTGGATTCATTTCTTTCTTGTGCTTAAATATACGATGGAAGTCACTGGAGTACAGCAACTGTTTGGTTAGCCACATTCTTCCAAATAACTTTTATAATTTCAACAGAAGAAAGAAACTTGAGAGAGTAAATGACAATTTAAATTTTTGGGAGAACTATCCCGTTAATGTTAATAAAACAACAAAACACAGAGGAAATCAATCACTGCTCTTGACTGAGAACATTAATAGAAGCTTTAATAAGCTTTTTTTGCACTTAAAAAAAATACAAATATATCGGTATCTGTATCGGCATCGGGCAAAATTAGTTTGAAAATATCGGCATATCGAATATCGGCCAAAATCCTATATCGTGCATCCCTATTTACAACATAACTAAATCAAAACAACCCAGCTGGATTTTGATTGATAAAGTAATAATAACAAAAGAAATACAGGTTACTTACAAAATTAAAGTTCATTCAAAGTATGTTTTTTTTTTATTTATATTTACACTTTTCGAAGTGACTAGCAGCCTGGTCACCTGACCAGAGTACTGCGCGCTGATTCGCTAAAACGGACTTGTCGGGTTGTATTCATAAACAAGGGTGCTTCTCGGTTTCTGCTGTAAAACATGAACTCGATGCCTTGACAGTGGACAATACCGGCTTTTGTGACAAAATGCGTTTAGGGTTCAGTCAATCTTGTCAGGCGTCTATTTCAGCGGAGGACATTAACGTTACAAAGACACACCGGCAGACAGTAAGGCGAGTAAATGAAAATGAGCGCTTTGCGGAATGTGCGGAAATGCTTAGACGGACGTTACGTAAGGATGTGGAGAGTGTCAAAATAAAGGTACCTCATATCGATATTTTACATGTGGCATCGATGCATTGTATCGTTAGATGTTTGATAGATGCATTGATCCATATCGATGTATTGTTGCACCCCTAATAGTTTCAGAGACCACTAGAAATGGCTGTCCCCTCAAATCGTGCCCCATTTAAGGGTATAGGGGGCGATTTCGGACACAAGCATAGGTTTTATCAGGTAAATTGAGCTGGCTTCATATAATTAATGAATGAGAAACAAATCCTTCCATAGACACACTAGCTACAGCCACTTTCAATGTTTAACAACCCACAGAGTCAACCTTGTTATTCAAGAGACGATTGGAGGATCCATGAAAAAACAGACATAGATAACAAACAGGCAAATTCAAACAAGCAGAAAGGGTGATACTTACGATCAAGTCCATTGATGTACCGGATTCTGATTTCACAGTGTCCCCACACAGCACTCACTACAGGGTATAGCTTCCTTCCTTTGAGTCCTCTGAAAGCAACCCCTAAATATTGTCCGTCAACAATAAAACTTAAAGTCCCCTCGTCCATGTCCAGGACCACCAAAAACGAGTCTGGGACGATAAAGGTCTCATCAGGCTCAAGAAAAGCTGGATACGTCCTACTGGGCTGATTCTTGCCATCATGATAGAGTTTGTTACGTCCCAGGTCCCAGCCCCAGGACTCGTTATTGTTTCCTACAAGTGCAGTGTATCCTACAGAATGCAGCGGGGCTTCACCCGTCGCCACACCAACAACGGCATGGGTTCCCCGCTGGCGCATGGCCCAGCTGATCTCCCACACATGCAGTCCCCGTGTGTATCCCACTCGGCCCCGGATAGCATCTGTACTCTGCGCTACAGGGTGCCGGTGAAATATGAGTTTATTGTCCTCTTTAACAAAGATGTTAAGCGACCGGTCATCATTGTTCCACGAGTGCTGCACTTGGACATCCTGCAAGGCTGATGGCATGTCTAACAACATATCCAGACGGGAAGGCTTGGTGTAGTCTAGGGCCTGCAGCTCTAGCTTGAGGGGCCGAAACGCCGGGTCCCGCATGTCCACAGTCTTTATGCCTCCCGGAACCTTCTGCCCCATGCTCTGGGTAGTCTTATTAGCACTTTACTCCCCCTCTTATCACAAAACGAAGCAAATAACAGAGAAAGAGGGCAGTCAGGGTCCACTCCTTCACCTATGCCCCTCCACCAATAAGGAGGCCAAGGCCACTTTTTATGCCAGTGGTTGCTGGGAAACCAGGTCAAAGCAGCTGCTAGTTACGATCACCTGGGGAGATTAAAGGGAGAAAAAAAAAGGCACAAAGTTAAATGACTGCAACAAATCAACCTTTTTACGGTTTCCTGTTTTCCCAAATCACATTAGAACTACAACCACCAACAATAACAACAATATAATCATCATGTTATTTTTACCATTACAGTTATAAATGACTGTTTATTAACTAATAATAGATATTACTACTATAACACAAAAGTAAAATTATCCAAACTGACAGAGTGTGTTAAAGATATAAAATATTGGATGACCAGTAATTTTCTTCTATTAAATTCAGATAAGACTGAGGCATTTACTTATTGGAACAAAAAACCTGTAGACACAATCTCTTTTAGAATACAATTTGCATCTAGAAGGATTTACAGTTACTTCACTCTCTATAGTTAAAGTCATAGTTATATTAGTAATTAGTTATAGCAACTTGTCTTTCATAGGTTACAAAAACAGCTGGCCACCTTAGAAACGTCGATAAGCAAAAGAACATGCTATCTGTTTCTGATGCAGAAAAGCTAGTTCATGCATTCATGACCTCTGAAATCTATACAGGATTAATGCATTACTAGGTGGTTGTCCTATCCTTAAACAAGCTACAGCTTGTCCAAAGAGTTCTTACCTGGTCAAGAAAACATGGACGTGTAATGCTAATTTCATAATTTCTACACTGTAATTGATACAGAACTTAATTGGTAACCAAAGTATTGCTACTGACCTTTAAAGGGATACTCCACCCAAAAATGAAAATTATGGCATCATTTACTCACCCTCAATTTGTTGCAAACCTGTATGAGTTTTTCTTCAGCTGAACACAAAGGAAGATATTTTGAAGAACGATTGGAGCCAAACAGTTGTTCGGCACCATTGACTTCCATAGTAGAAAAAAAAAAATACTATGGAAGTCAATGGTGCCAAAGTTCCAATCGTTCTTCAAAATATCTTGCTTTGTTTTCAGCAGAAGAAAGAAACTCGTACAGGTTTGTAACAACTTGAGGGTGAGTAAATGACAGAATTTTCATTTTTGGGTGGAGTATCCCTTTAAGGCCCTAAATGGTCCAGCTCCTATTTAACCGATCTTCTAGCGCCCTACAATCCATCATGCTCTTTTAAGTCATAAAACTCTGGACTTTTGGTAGGATCTAGGATATCCAAGTCCACTAAAGGAGGGAGAGAGCATTCTCACATTTGTCTCCTAGACTCTGGAATAGCCTTCCTGATTATTTTGGGGGCACAGACTCACTCTCCCGGTTTTAATCTAGATCAATGACTCTCTTTAGCCATGCATTTACATAATACATCTCATAACCTTGTACTCCAGTAACTTGTACAGCAGTTATATCATATTAAATGCACATGTTTGTCTTTTGATTTAAATGTTATGAACAGCAGCGACACCAATTATTTTCCATTTGCTTTTCTGTTTCTACTAGAGATCACGCCAGCTCCAGTTTGGATCCATCTTCTAACATCGGATGACCCAACACCTGAAAAGAGTTTACAACAACCCCAGCCAGGACTTCATGTGACACCAACTCTGAATCAACATACACAACTGCCAATTTTTTTTTATATTTTGTGATCACAACTTGTAATAACTGCTTTAATGAGATCATTGTTTCTGCCTAAATGAATACATGCTAGCTATACTGCATAATTTGTATTCTTAGAACTACACATTTCTGGAAATATGGGCATTACATGGACGGTTCTGATAACAAATTACTCTAAGTTGTAATGTAGAAACAGGCATTTTCTGTAAAGCTGCTTTGAAACAGCTGTAGGCCTATTGTAAAAAGCACTATACAAATAAATGTGCATTGAATTACTAGGTTTATTAAACTACTATTACACAATACAGATCATGAAATGTGTATGTTATACAAGCAGATCTTTGGAACTTAAGTTACATATTTAGTACGATTTTAATGAGAAACAACCTTGATTAGGCACACGTTTGACAAACATAGCCCAAGCAAAATAAATTACTCTCCTCTACAAACTCAGACAAGAGTGGTCTGTTAATAGCACAGTAACTATCATTCTGTCAGTTGCATGCTCAATGCCTCACTTGTGTGTGTTACAATATGGTTTATAGGTCCAAGGCACTTTTCAGAGTCCCATTATATCACATGACATGCGCATAGGAGAAAATAAATCTCTAGCTGTACCACAACCAACCCGCTCCTCTTGACTGCTTCACACAATGCCCTTTAAAAATAAGGGATATAAAAGGAGAGAAAAAAGACAGGCTATATCCTCTTAAGCTTGTCTAGTCTGAAGATAACAGGAAGAGCAATAAAAAGTCTGACTTCAAGAATATAATACAGAGCCGAAATGTTTTCAGTGAAAACCGCAAATTCAGGCCAGCAAATATTCCACCAGACAAGGTCAGTGGCAAAAGAGGCAAGTAGGAGGAAAAAAAACAAAAATTCATTAGTCAAGCTTAGAGACTAGACATACCAGTGCTGCTGTGTGTGAAATCCCCACACGATGTCCTGGTTTCTAACGCAATTCCTGCCCTCCCAAATTACATCACTGTTAAATCTGATATTCAACAATTAGGGCAGTCTACTAGAAAAAAAACAGCAAAAAAGCTTTATGGCCATCTCCAAAAAAATAAGTCAAGTCTTACGTTCTTTCTGTACAGTGCTTATTGAAAACAGCATTTCATAATAAGCTGCTGAAGGGCCCCAAGGGTAATTGAATTGTAGACAAGAGTTCATTGAGGAGCATCTTAGCCCTTTCTCTGATACAAGTAAACAACCTTTTAAATGGGTCACACCTCTCCGCCGCTGGCCTACCCAAGGCAGAGGAACACCAAGGAGTGGGTGGCAAGTTTGTGAATGCCAAACAATACAGTCTTCAATGGCTGTCCAACCTTTAGAAAGTAGGAAACATGTTAATTTGCACACTCTATGCAGTGAGCAATTAAGCTCCGTGGCAAAGCACCAACACACACAGACAACAGCCTTTTACAGATCTGTTAGAACCCGGTGACCATTTTAAATGAGATATCGCATTATTGCATGATACACAGGGGCAAGGTGATGTCATTCTGCAGGATCGTCTTCACTCTTGGCATGGTGTTTTAAAAGAGACTGCTTGGCATGTCAGGTGACAACCTGACTTTTTTTGATTGGTTTAAATTTTTTGGTGGTTTATGAGCAGGGACTTTGCAGGTGGTTTGCCGACCACTTCTGTGTAGAGCTGATTGAAATGCGTGATGGGGGTTCTGGTGGATTTGTTGGGCCTGGGGAACAGTGGTGGCTTTTGTCTTGTCCACATTTAATACTTACGCAAAACTGGGCTTCCCTAGACTTCTAACTCCCAACCTTGCACCTACTTGGATGCAAATATGTACCTCCAACTTGAATTTCCCAACATGCCGCTTTGATTCAATCTTGAACATGTTGTACGATTTTAATGAAAAAACACCCCTTTGATTTTCTTGATTCAGCTTACGCTTTACACAAAATAAATCTACCCTGCTCTAAAAACTGATAGACAACAGTTGTTTTAATAGCACAGCAATTGTATTATACTGTCAGTTGATTGCTCAATGACCCTGATGATGGCATTGTGCGCATGTCAACCAGTGGAGGTTTTGTTTGTATAGAAGCAAAACCTCCACTGGTTGGCATGCTCATGATCATCAGGGTAATTTTTCTTCTCAAAAGTTGCAGCATGTATTTGCAAGATGACGGACACTACTCTGAAATGGGGACATTATCTTCGACAGGTTTTAATCATGATACTGAGGCATCTGGCAGGCAGCTGTGAGTGAGGGGCAAAGCAGGAACGAGAAAGTAGATGACAAATCATGGTGTCAACCCAAATGTCACACAGATGCTCTATTCAGACAGTGGGCAGACGGGGTGAAAATGGCAGACAAATGGCACTTTAACACTGCTTGATTAAAGAAGTGTGAAGACTTCTCAACTGAAAGACAAAATAAATCCTAGAGGACATTCAAAAGAAAATCATCCTTAAAGTATCCTCGCATACATTGTTTTGTTTTTTTACCAATTAATTGCACTGCAAAGTGGTACATATACCATGCCAGAAAGGCAGCATACTAGTTACAACTGCAGAAATAATGTAACAGAATTGGTTTAACACATCAAACAATGTTGGAGCAGAGACACAGTCGGTAGCACATTGTTCATGACACACAAGAAGCTGTTGTGCTCACGGGGACCTGGGTTAGAGTTCGATTTGGGTCATGTCCCGAACCCAGTAACCCCCACTCTCCTTCCACTTTCCTGTCAACTCTCCTATTTAAAAAAGGCAATAAAATGTATTCACAAAAATAAATAAAGCCAACAAACCAACATTGATTTGGTTTTTAAAATAAACTTTTTATATTTAAACACGTTTATAGCATTATTACACCATTTGGAGGCAACAGGCAAGCAGCCTGAACTCAGCTGTGTAAAACATTAACCTTTTATAACTTGTGCTAAATTGTGTTAGGGTTAGTATTAACTTATTAAAAAAAACATTAATTGCTAAAAACGCATTTGGGTTTTTTAAATTGCTGACACTTTTGACATTAAGTACCCAACTTTATTTAAAATAATAATAAATGTATATATAAAAAAATTGAATGACATAAAATGTCATTAAACCAACAAGACAAAACATGATCACCAGTAAGTTTGAGAAATATGAAGGTCTGATTTGAATTGAAAGAGATCAGGGTGTCTTTATATTCATGAACGTAGACTCACCCTGGATTAAAGCAATCATATTTTTCAATTGTTTAACAGGGCTCTTTGGGGCTGACAGCCATTATGAGAGAACAGGAGCACACTTAACCAGCGCTCCCCCACTAGACAAGCTCAACAGCTCTAGGCAGAGCCACAGCAGGTGCCATCATGATACTGCTGAACAGTTTCAGAAAATGACAACACCCTTCACAAATATACCATACTGTAATCTGATCGAAATCTTCTGAACGTTGCTAAATCATAGAACGTTGATAAAACACTCATGTA